TGCAAGGAGAGAGAGAGAGAGAGAGAGAGAGAGACCGAGAAGGAGAGAGTGAATGGAGGAAGGTTGAAGTAATGGATCAAGACGGTGCGAGCAGAGAGAGAGAGAGAGAGCCCGAGAAGAGAGAGTGTGGGGAGGAAGGGTGAAGTAATGGATCAAGACGGTGCTAGGAGAGAGAGAGAGAGACCGAGAAGGAGAGAATGTGGGGAGAAAGGGTGAAGTAATGGATCAAGACGGCGCGAGGAGAGAGAGAGAGAGGAGAGAGAAGGGATGATTAACACAAAAAGAGCCTGAGAAAGAGAGAGAGTGTGGGGAGGAAGGGTGAAGCAATGGATCAAGACGGTGTGAGGAGAGAGAGAGAGAGAGAGTCCGAGAAGGAGAGAGTGTGGGGAGGAAGGGTGAAGTAATGGATCAAGACGGTGCGAGGAGAGAGAGAGAGGGACGGAGAAGGAGAGAGTGTGGGGAGGAAGGGTGAAGTAATGGATCAAGATGGTGCGAGGAGAGAGAGAGAGAGAGAGAGAGAGAGAAAGAGAGGGGTGGTGGACAAAAAAGAGAGAAGGGATGAACACAATGAAGAGGTATAGAAGGAGAGAGTGTGGAGAGGAAGGATGAAGTAGTTCAGCAAGATGGTGTGAGGAGAGACAGAGGGGGAGAGAGGGAGGGGGTATGAAGGCACAAGAGCTAGTGAAGGATCAAAGAAGAGGTATGAAAAAAAAACATAATGATGGCAAATAGAGAGTCACAGAGGGATGGGAAGGAGATAGTTACAGAGGGTGGGAAGAAAGATTAAGATGGTATGTGTGTGTGTGTGTATGTGTGCTCTCATCTCAGCATTCTTGTGGGTTTTATGTGCGCTTCACATACCCCTTGTGAGCATTTTTACTTTGTGGGGTATTTTTTCAGGACCCCACAGAGTAAAGTCTTTCAAATGACTGTATATTCGGTGTCCTATGCCCTGCGGGGCATTAGAAGTGGTACCCCATAAATGACTTTTTGTGAGCGTGTGCTAAAACTTGCACACTTTTTTATGGTAACATCGTAAGCACACCGCCGGGTTGTTATCGCCAGGTTGTACATACCCCACTAGTAGGGGACCACAAGGTATATCTGGAACGCACAGTAATACCCCAATCAGGTGCCCCACAAAGGCCCTGATGTGAGAATTTGCGTGTGTGTGTGTGGTGTGTGAGAGAGAGAGAGAGAGAGAGCACTTTTTATGAAGAAACAACTTTCTGAATAAGAAGAGAAATAGCCTGAATGAAAATTAAATGCTAACTTCAAGAACTCTACTGATGAAAGTCACAATTTTTCTAGCAAAGATTACATGGCACAATTTTATTGAGCATGGAACAAATAGACAGATTTTCACGCCTTAAATTCAAAGTAGTACTTTAAAAACATGAATATTATGTTTATACTCAACAATCATTCTTCACAATTTGTTTTTTTCATATACCCGGTAGCCTAAAATAGACTTATAAGGAAAAGTTATATTCGGCAAAGCAAACATTCTCTGTTTAAAAAAAGTATGCAAGACAAACTGGAATGTCCTAACACATGAAAGAAATTTTGAAAAATAGGAAAGAAAGTACATGCAGCTCTTGTCCTCAATGGTGTTTAAATCCTGCCAACAGATGGCAGTAGACTATAAAAACAGCACATGGTTTGCAAATGCCCAACTGTATGCTATATGTCACAGTATCGTGTATAAAGTTTGTCAAAATGAACCCTTATAGTGTTTTTCCAGTCTATATAGTTTGGATGCGTCTTGCTATCACAGATTCTCTGCTAAAGTATCCAATATATACATATACCCCAAATACACACAATTTCGTCAAATGGTTAGCTCTTTGGCATTCATACACGTATAAACCAACAAGGGTTTCAAACGTCAGTCAAGAACTTGGAATGATGATCAATAATTTGATACCCATTTGTGTCATTCTTTGCAGTTGGGACAATTATTGTGACATACCAGAATTGAGAAACTATGTCTCCTATCAACCATAACAATGTTTGATCAAATTGAGTTTAGCATAAAAAGCAAAGCAAGTTATGTTTAGCAGTACTCTAGCATCATGGTATGGTTTATGTAATGTTATATAAACAATATTAAGCAAACATTTTTAAGAGAAGCAACTGAACGATTCATCTTTCATATGTAGTAGAAGATCTCATACCAATGTAACATGGGACATCGTCATATATTGGCCCTAACCTTACAGCATGCCCATTTCTAAAATTAACTTCACCCATACACATGATGTCAATATTACATTCCTAATTTTAAAGAAAACAATCCATTGCATATCTCTCTACTGCATAAATAGTTGTCAGCTGTCCAAAAAAAGTGATCAAAATATATAATACAACGATATACTTGAATGCAAAACTACAATATTGATTATAATAAATCGTCTGTTTACACAATCAATTTGTTTATCTTTTAAGAGTTATTTACCAATAGCATCAGATATTGTCTGTCATATAATTATCTCAAAAGTATTATGATTGCATAATCAGAATTTGTTTTAATCAACTCAAACAATCAGATGAACATCTTTATCATCACCCTACAAAACTGAACAAATGACAGATTTGGGGGCTCAAAATGCCTGATAAATTGGCAAGTTTATATTTTCCAATTGGTACACTTAAACAAAATACCTGTACAGTAGTTTACCTTTCGAAGGATACACAGAAATGACATAAAATGAAATGAATCAAACATATTATCATCATTATTACATCCCAAGATGTAAACAACAACATATAAATTAAAATGTACTTTGGTCCACATCAATGACACATCTTAACTGGCGTGCCAGTCATTTTCAGGTGGGCTGTATATCATACAGACCACCTTATATTTTGTTGAACTTCCCTTTATCATTATTATTTATTATTGTTATTTTCTTCTTAATTCTTACCACTTTTTTGTTAGCAAGATAACTTGAAAATGGATCAATCAAATAACTTGAAATTTGGCACACATATGTATAGGTATATAGCGAAATCACAATAACGTTTTCAACCTTGACCATGACTGATGACGTCATCTAGTTTTCTTCTGTTTTTTGTACATGTATGTCTAAAATTATATATATGTACAAATTATTCTAGATTTCACCTCCCGTTTCTAAATCAACATGGTACATCATTATGGCATTTGTATATACTCAAACTTTTAAAGCTAAATTTGAAACAGGCATATATAAAGCATAATAAAACCAGGCCCATGGAATGATCTACATGTATGTTAATTTCCCTGATTACCTGAAGGCATATGATAATTTTTTTAAAACTCACATCACTTTGATAAAAGATGGCACTGATATACAGCTTAGATATATATTCTAGTAATTAATGTAGTTGTCATAACAAAAAGGATTTTAAAAAACTTACAAAAATGGCAAAGTTTTGTATAAAGGGGAAAGAAACATCAGCTTTGAGCACACAATACTATAACATTTAAAAAAAAAATCCAAAGCTGATAATATGAGCTCACTATCATATCAATGGTAATTTCAGATATACTATGAGTTTGATACACCTGAATATCTAGAAATGAACATACATGTAGTAGTGCCAGAGAAATTGACACAATCGCAATCAATGATTCTACAAAATAACAGTCGTTATGACCTAGACTTTCAAGTTTCAACTCATAATTCACTTGATATGGAAAAGCATGAAGCGATACCGAGCAATTAAGAATTTATTTATTTTTCTCCATAATCCCACACTGATACACTCAGAGGATCCCTGATTTGTTTTAATTGCAGCGCTATCACTAAATGGGTACTCCACTCACTAACCACCTGTTATAATCAAAGTGTAATCAAATCAAGTTTTAAAGCTGTGCAAGCTGAGCTGTGCTTGCAGGGTATTCAAAAGTAATGCAATGAAACATCGCAGAGTCACAACTTTCTCTTGAAAATTCAATATACCGGCAACCTACATGATGCTTCCCTAAACAATCATTTTTGTCATCTCGTGTATAAAAAAAGTTTGGCTACCCTTTGTTCAAAAGCTTATTCAAAAGAAGACTGACTTTAAAGGTGGTGTAGCATGACGAGAATACATGTCTTTCCCGTGGCCTGACTCAGGGGGGGCCGATCAGGTATAATACAACTACGGACGACGCGATCGCAGTATTCATGTGCATGCAACATTAGCGAAACCGAAGCGTGAGGAGAACTTTGGTCCGTTTCACGAACGCTAGAGCGTGCCGACTGTTAATGAAGTCCAGTTTACGTGCATTTGTCCAAAAGAAGTCGTAGATGGAGTTAACCAGTATTTGCCATGCTACACCCCCTTTAATAAAGAACGTAGTGAGTGGGGAAAGCACTCACTTAATTCCATGTTGAGATAATCCTATTTCCATTTGAAGGCCAAATCCACTCCAAAAATAACTTACTGGCAATAGAAGCAAAAAAAATCAGACAAACCAATCAAAAGAAGTTTGAGCAAAATCGGATAACTAATACAAAAGTTATGAATTTTTAATGAAATTAAAAACTTTGAAAATCACAAGACAAATTGACAACTCACTCATGAGTCTGCGACGTCATGTCCTCACCATCCACTAACTATTTTCTTGATATTGATGATATAAATTTCCTATTTTCTCCCTAAGATTCTTATTTCTTCACACCAGCATCCAAGTCAGATTGATAGTAATATGTTTTTGTGTGGATGCACTATTAGAGTAATTTTTTCACGTAAATCATGAACATTTTTAGTTTTAATAAATAATCTATATAAAAACTAATGATTAAGAATACCTAATATTCAGAAAATAGTATCAATTCTTCAAAGTTTCTAAATGATGATGTGAAATGTCATGCACGCAATATGATACAAATCATATAATCTGGGCAAAGGCATGGTGAAATCAAGTTTTGGGGGATAATCATAACAAGGAAATGAATAGGATAAAATGATATAAAGCAATCAATAAATAGTGAGGCAATGAAGTCACAAACTGATAACCAAATTTGTGTAGTGATTTGTAAGTTGCATAGTTTTTCATACTTACAAAAAAAAATCATAACTTCCTCATTAGCTATCCGATTTTGCTCGAACTTATTTGGCTCTGTTTCTCCCACTTTTCTGCATCTATTAAAAGCAAATTATTTTTGGAGTGGACTTAGCCTTTAAAAGAAAGGAGAACACAGCAGTCATTACAAGAATGTAGTCAGTTTACATTCAAGACTCTGTTAATCAGTTCATTGGCATCAAAGGTAGAGTTCAGTCAGGATGGAAGCAAGGCTACATGAAAAATATAGTACAAAGGCATATCATCATATATGGGCCCTGTTTCATAGAAATTGCTATCAATAACAAGTTATGTTTACTGTTATAAGCTACTGAAATCACAGCATTTTATTGGTTGAGACCAAATTTGTCTTAGAAATTTAGCATTTCTTATTGATAACAATTTTCATGAAACAGGACCCTGCATCAGTAATCACCTGTATAGAAAGACCTGTCTAGAAAGCCCATACTATATGTTTCTCTCAACTGAGACAGTGTTTCTCATTAAAATACGTATTAATCAGGAGTTTGATACAAAGACCACCTGTTTAACCCATTGCAAACAGGGACTGGGCGATTCCTGTTCAAGCCTGTAGGCTTCATATCTTTCATCACCCAACAGGTTAAGACCATATCATACATCCCTATCTAACAAACAAGTTTTAGTAGAACCTGTATATATAAAGGCCATCTGTCTATAATTACCACAAATTTTTTTCTCCCCTGGATGGTCTTTGTACACAGGTTTGATAGTGTAAAGGTTAATACAGTTCAAGATAAACTTCTATAACATGAATAGAGTTCTCCTTCTTAACGCAGGAGTTCTAGCTGGTCTGCATTCAGCACATCAAAACCCACATGAGGCATTTAGGTTAAGCCTGTATGACAAGCTGTTTACAAAGACCACATATGAGTCTCCTTCAGGTGGTCTTTCTACACAGGTTTGACTGTATAATAGATAATACAATTCAAGATGAAGAGACGTTCTCCTACAACATGACTATAACTTTTGTTACTTGTTGGTCTATTTCTAGCTGATCTGTGGCCAGTAGGTAAAGCATATGTGAGGCATGATGAGGACCGTTAGAAGGCAGGATAAGAGGTTGATTCCTTCGTTGTCAAAGAGGGCGATACCTGATATATGTTCTGTGGTAGGGGAGGCTTGGTGGACCACCTTGTGCTGTCTTGTACAGTATGCTGCAGAGAAGTCACACAGAGGGAGAGGGAGACGGATAATCAGAATTCATATTTTCATCAAATTTGTAGCCCTACACTTATGAAACAAATTTCCTGCATTTCTAAGAAAAACAATGTATTACTTCACTGACAAAATCAAGAGGTAATCTGCCATCTGCTGCAGGTCATCTAAACAATATGAATCTAAATGGATGAACTAAATAATGCCACAATGGTACATGTATGAATAGATCAATTACCTGAGTACTGGAACCATGCCCCAAGCAAGGAGTCGAAGAGTGAGCCTAGCAGACCAGCCACGCCCCCAAAGAGGACGACAGGCCACTGGGGTGGGGAGTTATGAAGCATGTCTTGACTGAAAGTCATGAAGATTCCTAGCAGGTATCCTAGGCCTACGACTAGTCCTCCTGCAAAGCTCATCAGCGTACCCACAAGTGATATGCCCCCATTGGTTCCTGGTTGGGAGATTAAAGAGCGAGACATTAACAAGAGACAATGTCCTTTGGCAAGACACTAATCTGCAATTGCCACTCTCCACCCTGGTGAAGCAAAATAGTAAGATTAAACGAGAACTTACCGTTTGAAGTTTGATCTTTATTTTATGAATATTTAGGAGGAAGTTATTACATGAGATCCCGCCAAGCGCATGCGCAGTCAATATTCAAAGCTACAAATGTGGCTACTCTCAGTAGTAAGGAACAGGGAACTTACACTTAAGTTTGAAGTTTGGGTGGGTGAGGAGGGCATGTAATAACTTCCTCCTAAATATTCATAAAATAAAGATCAAACTTCAAACGGTAAGTTCTCGTTTAATCTTACTATTTTATATCATATTTCGTCGTTCGAAATTACATGAGATTTTGAAGCATAGTAGCCACATTTGGAACAACCAACATGTACAGAAAAGTGAACACTGATTATGCAGATTGAATTGAATGCTTCTAATCAATGACTCACCATATTTGACAGTTATTGTAGTCTTTTCATACATGTACATGTGGCAAAACATTTCACATACAAGACGTCCATATATAAGACGTCATAATGTTGCAAAAACATTGTTCGTTTCTGTATCTAGTTTATTATAGCCATCTGGTTTCTTAATCCCAGTTCTATTAATTAGACAGCTGGTCTCTTAATGCCAGTTCTATTGAAAAGCCTTCTGATGCAGTTCTTAAAGCAGTGTGCTATCTTGTAAGACTGCCTGGGTAAAGTTTCTCTTGTTTTCAAAAGGTTTCCTGTAGAACTTCCTGAACGTTTTCTCTGAAGACCATCCTGCTCGGGCTAGGATCTGGTCCATTGGAAGTGCTGCCTTGGCAGCTGCTGAAGTTGATGCTGCCCGCGTTGAATGAGCCTTATAAACGTTTGTATCCACACCGCTCTTAGCAAGCAGGTCTTGATCCAGCGAGATAAGGTTTGAGTTGTTACTCTATTATGAGGTCTGGTGTAACTTACAAAGAACGAGTTCTCATTCCCACGAAGTGGTCCTGTGCGCTGGACATAATGTTTCACATATTTTAAAATACACAATCTTCTATCAGGTGGATATGCTTCCAATTTAAACTTAAAATTGGTATTTCCTGGTTTGCTTTGCTTCAAGTGTTCATCCAAATGAAAAATCACAAAGCCCCCTTTCAGGGTCACCTTGTTAGTCTTTAATATATGCAAGGTTTGCACTCTCTGTGCCGATACAAGAGCCATTAGCATACATACTTTGAGTGTTAAATCTCTGAGGTTTAAGGAGTTTACTGGAGACAATTTTCTTAGAAAATTGAGGACTGGACTAATATTCCATATTTCTGTATATCTAGGTAAGACAGGTCTGAGTTAAAAAACACCTCTCATCAGTCTGGTTATAAGTGGGTGAGTACTTATTGTCTGATTACTGTCAACGTGAATCAGAAAAGTGGATAAAGCGCTACGAGCTGTATTGATCGCACTGTAGCTAAGGTTCCTGTCATGAAATAAACTACTAAGGAATTCTAGTACCGTTTCCACCTCGGCTTGGAGGTAACTCGTATTCCTGCTGTGGCAAAATCTTCACCACTGTGTGATGTAAACTTGGTACTTCTTGCAGGTTGATGCTCTCCATGAAGCTGTAATGATATCCACTGTTCGTCTGCTTAGTCCCCGATTCTCAAAGTGTTGCCGCATAACCTGCAACATAAGAGGTCAATATTAGCATTAAGAGGGTGGGTGGTGTTTAACACAGGAAGGAGTAGCAAATCTTCTTGCCTATGGATAAACAATGGCTCTCATTCCATCATGCTAACCAACTGAGGGAACCACGCCTGAGTAGGCCAATTAGGGACCAGAAGTAACCCTCTAGCTTTATCATCTCTGATTTTTTGCAAGTATTTGGGATCATACAGAACGGTGGGAATGCATAGAATGCAAAAGGTTTCCAATCTAGCGTAAATGCGTCAACTGCAAAAGCCCCAGGGTCTGGGTGCCAAGTGAAATATTTCTCTACTTGAGCATTTAGTCTTGAGGTGAACAGGTCTATTTCTGGTACACCAAAGTGGGAAACTATTCTATCGAACACTTGTCTGTTTAGTTTCCATTCTGTTCGATCATTAAATTTCCTGGATCTTTCATCTGCTATAGTATTGAGCCGACCAGGTACATGGGCTGCAGAGACCCAAATATTTCGAGAAATGCACCACTGCCAATTTCTCTCGTCATCTTGTCACACATTGCGGACTTGCAACCTCCCATGTGATTTAAATAAGCCACTGCAGTGGTATTATCTATTCTTACCATCACATGAACGTTACGCTTATTCATGCAAAAGGATTTTATCCCCAACCCAGCGGCTAGGGTTTCCAGGAAATTTATTTCATTGTTTCTTGCCCTTTCTGCCTCAAATTCATTCCAACGACCCCCTGTTTGCTTCTGGAGGTCAGTAGCTCCCCATCCAAGGCCACTGGCATCTGTGTGCAATTCTAAGTCAGGTTTTTTCCTAACAATTGGGGAGGAGGCCATAGAAACATTGTTCATCCACCACTTTAACTCCTCTTTTGCCTCAAGGGACAACTTCATATTTCTGTCAAAATGACCCCTGTTTTGTCTGAGGGCTGCAATTTTGTCCCTTTCCATTGATCTATAGTATAAGGGGCCATACTCAACCGCAGGGAAAGTTGCTATGACCTTCCCAATCACTTGTGCTACCATTCGTATTGATGGGAGGTACGTGCCCATTAATTCACGGCATAAATCTTTCACTTCTTGTGCCTTTGTTTGAGGCAATTTTACAATCATAATCTCAGTGTTAAGAATGAAGCCAAGAAAGGCTAGTTCACGTGTTGGGATGAGCACCGATTTTTTAGTGTGAATGAGGAATCCTAATTCTGAGAGGATCTTTAAGCTTTTCTTTTGTCTCACCAATAATTATGGTGTCGTCCAAATATCCTATGACTGTATGACCTGCTTGTCGCAGTTCGGCAAAGACTGGCTTCAGCAATTTTGTGAACAGTCTGGGGGCTGTGCTGAGCCCATTAGGTAAGGCTGCAAATTGCCAGTGCTCACCCTGCCACATGAACCTCAAGTATTTCTATTATTTGGGTCTACTGGAATGGAGTAATAAGCATCTTGGAGGTCGATTGATGCAAGATAACAGTGCGGAGAAATCAAGTGCTTGGCAGTGTGGATGTTATCCATCTTAAAGTGTTGTACGTTCAGACTTTGATTAAGCTCTGATAAGTCTAAGATCATACGAGTACCCCCATCTTTCTTGGGTCTCGTGAAGATGTTTGAGAGGAATTCTCCCTCTTCAAATGAGCAAGGTTCTATTACGTTTTTTGCTTGTAGAGCCAAGATTTCTTTAGTAATCTGGTTTATTTCTAAAGGGCTCTTTTTGTAACCATAGAGAGGCTTATTTCTTGAGGGAACCCCTTTCGAATAATCAAATTCGATCTCATAGCCTCGCACTGCTGATAGCAGAAATAGATCTGACATTAATTCACGCCATCTACGATAGAAATATATTAATCAACCTCCAACAGGCACATTTGAGATGCATTCTTGTTGTAATGTACATGAAGTAGAAGGAGCATTAATCTTAACATTCTCAAAATATTCATATGTGCTACTTACCTCTTTGGGTAATGGTGTAGCTATTTCCTCCTTGCTGCCTGTGGCCGCTGGAAGGATTGGGTCTGTTTCCCCATGCTCATCATCTGGATGTGAGGCGGAGCTCTGTATGGTCTGCCTCGTTGGGTTCGCTGGCCTAAAAAAGGCCTGTTGTAGTTCCCACTTGCGGGCCTGCTACTTGGAAAAGTTTGTGATGTGCCGGTGGCACGGTTCCATCCTTGTCTGCGGTATTGAAAAGTGCTGGACGCTTGCGTTCTGTACGGATGGTACTGGGGGCGGGGTGTACGTTGTCCACGCACCACGCCAGATGCAGCTTTTTGTTGTTCTGTAAGATCTTTGACTCTCTTTGTTAAGTCATCGCCAAATAAGTACTGACTCACTGGTGTGGCAGGTTTGCATAGATGTGAGTACTTGGCATTTAAGTCTGGCTTAATCTGATCTTTGCGTAAGCAGTTGATTTCAAAGTTTGTGTTACACAGCAATGCCAATGCATCCTGTTGTGTCTCAGATAGGCTATCAGGGGACAGAGTTTGAATAAAAGCTGTGAGTCCCCTTGTCAAAGGCTTTTTGATTCTTTACAGTTTCAAATCACAGCTTCTTGTATGCGAGGATAGGTTTTCCCATATTGCTGCATTCACTTTGGGGCAACACAGTGGAGTACAATTGCTTGGAGGAGGGTATTTCCCTCCAGCTTCCTCCAACACATTTTCCTCTAGCTGGTGGGACATGAGGTACATGGCAGACTTTGCTAAATCATCGTGGATCGCGCCACCTACACCAGTGGGATAGCAAATTTCTGAGCCAGGGCAGGAACTTTGTCTTCATACTCCTGGTCTAAACCTGGTGCAACAGTTTCGTTGACATCACCCTCATCCATGCTGCCAATGTCATATGACGTAGGGCATTGGCCCATGTTTCCAGTGTCAATATGCTCAAAATCATCATCATCATCATGTTCAACTTCAAGAAATCTCACGTTCGCCGCAGCTGTACATGCTGTCGGTGGTGTATCCCCGGTGGGGCGAGTTGCAGATTGACAAGGCAAAAATCCACCATTCTCTCCATTAAAGGTAAAGACCAGTTATGGTCATGCAATTGCATTGTGAAAGAAACGTTGTGGAATCGATCAGAAAAGGTTGATCATCTAGCATCTAGCATCTGCAAGGTTCTGGAATCATCAAAATGATAAGAAATTTGGCCCATTCTTCGTAAAGTTACAAGCACTATACACAGAAAGATGTATATGGGACTACCCTATATCTCTCACAGACCATGAGAGAAACAAATTTACCAAATATATGAATTAGTAGGCGGTTTCCCGGCAAATTTTTTATCATCATGTATTAGTCAAAACATATTCATTCACATGATTGGTAATGAGAGCTTCCATTTCATTTTTTGAAATTGGGGTGTTTCCAATACTGGTCTTTACCTTTGGCTTTAAGGATTCCAATTTGTCAAGTCTTCCTCGTAAATCCGTGAAGTCCTCCTTTTCTTCAGGCTTTTTGCCCTTCTTTTTAGGCCAGAGTTCTTAGACTCATTCGGGGCAGGCTTTGCCAAGACACTTTGCGTTTCGTATCGAAGGATTTCACTGCCGATGAGCGCTTTGGCTCAGGCTTCGTAGAGGGGCCCGCGGCGGTTTCGCCCAGTGAAGTTCCGGCTTTATCCGTGCTCAGCGTTTCGCTGGTTTTCTGCTTGGTGCTGCCTGACGGAGACGCCATCGTGTACGTGGAAATCGGAGCAAAACTTCGATTTTTGATATAAAAACAGCACAGATTCTCAAAAGTCTTCCAAAACATGAAAAAGGAGAGTTTCTCTCCCTATTGAAGTATTTTTTCGAAACCGCTGGTCCGAAAAAATGCCGAAAAATAGGTATTTTGACTGCTGAGGGAAATTACTTTCCCGGTAAAAATCAATTGCGCGGCAAATTGACTGCACATGCGCTTGGCGGGATCTCATGTAATTTCGACCGACAAAATATGATATAAAATAGTAGCTGGTAGGACAGAATTCCTTGATAGCTTTAGCACCTTATTAGTGGCAGCGCAGCTACAGCTGGGGTTATAATATGATACTGTGTATTAAGCACATTACAGTGCATTCATATAGTGGCTGTGCTATATAAATAGACCTATTATCATTGAAAAAAGTGAAAGTCTTATTAAGAGAAAGATAAAAGGCAGTGCTCAAATAAGATAAATAACCCCAAAAAGAACTTGTAGTGACTTGACCTTTGGAGAACTTTGCATTTGTAAATATTATTGTCTTGTCTTTATTGTGTGGCTTGAAGTCTAGCCTTTTATTCCATTGTCACTCATTTCTTTAGTGACACCTGTTGCATTACTAGAGTGCCACAAATACTTACTCTGGCAAGCACATTCCATACCCTATGGGTTGGGATGTGCAACCACCTAATGTACTGGTATAGCTTATACTGTACAGGGACATTACACTTGCTTGCTTTATTTGCCACACCTATTTTCATCACTTCTCCTGAGCTGTTCATATAGAGCACACCTATTCTAGAGAGTCGATCGATCAACAGCAAAGCTAATTCAGCTTCATCTTAATTCTTGTCCTATTTCTTCGCTTGTTTCTCTACTCGGTTCTGAGGCCTTATTACTTTATAGAGATTATAAGTTTCTTCTTCTTTACTTAACTCGCGAAGAAGCGTCATTACTTTGTACATGGTCTTACATATTCTTTCTACGGGTGCTGTGCAATATTTGAACTACTACTTGTGATATAATATATGTTCCAAGTATCTGTACTCAACAGTGTTTCTACGAGACAAGGTAGGAAAGAAATCTATTTCTATTTCTTTTATTTAGGTGATTAAATTCCCTAAAAACTATTCAAAGTGGCAAAGATTAAAATGAAGATAGAAAAAGAGATTAATGTGGTAATAGGAAAAGATCAGATGCAAAAGAAATACATGAAAATGAGAGAGATTGTTTAAAAGAGGGCTTAAGTTAAAAGAGAATGGAGTTAGAAATAATAATATTAATAATAATACTCAGTTTTTATATATTACAATCACTAAGTGCTTCCAAATTTGGAGATTATTACCCCTGCTTTAGCTGTGCTGCCATTACGGCGCTCTAGCTTTCCAAAAAATTAATTCCTGCCATATACCCATTTACATCACCCGGGTTGAGTTGAGTGTGGCAATGTCTTGCCAAAGGACATTAGTGCCACGGCGGGTCTCGAACCGCGGACCTTGTGATCGACAGTCCGGCGACTTAACCACTCAACCACGGCACCTCTACTAAGGGAAAGGAATAGAGTGGCAGGTTGAAAGGATGATTGCTATCCTGCTGCAATACCAGTCTTCCTAAACCAATATGTCCCTTCCAAGTTGGTTAAATCTTTATTTCCAGTTTTACAAGTTTTTTTTTATAAGAGCTAGACAGGAAGGAAGGAGTGGCTTCCTGTTCGACTCTTCAAGATTGAAATGGTGATTGAGGTGTATTTGTAGGTTCTAGTACACCTACCCACCGGATAACCGGGTCATCATAAGGTCCGCTATTCATAAGGACCGCTTTTCATAATTTGAGAAAAGGGTCATTATTCATAAGGACCACTATTCATAATCAAAGAAGATGGTCGGTATTTATAATATGAGAAGAGGGTTGCTATTTATAATACAAAATCAGGGTGATTGAGGCGTATTTGTACATTGTAACATCATCAACCTAAAACAAATGTGTGTAGCAATGATCATTGCATTAATTACTTTCAAACCACAAATTCTGCCAGTGGATTTTGCCAGTGGTGCCGATTTGCAAACATTTCATTCAAAGAAATCATGGAATCATAACACTAAAATGATGCAATATGCCCTTATCACAAATGATTTTTTTGTAAAGAGTTTGAAGAATGTCCCACTTACCTCTTGGCACCTTTTCCAATGTTGTAATCAAGCGAGGGCTCTGTGTCCCTACGACGCTCCCAACCTCTGAAGCCCACGTGTCACCGCTACAGCAGGCTATCCCACTCATCACCCCGAGGGCGATATAAGTGGTGTTGTAATAGTTGGAGAAGTCCAAGGGGTGGTCTTGGAAGCCTGTCTCCAGGATGAAGTGGGCTGCGTATAGAGCGGGGATTCCCCCATTGGTGAAGACTTGGACCCATGTTCTCTGTCCACCTGTAACAATATCAGTCATAGCAATCAGGGGTTGGGCAAGAGAGGGGGGGGGGTATAATTCTGAAAAATTACACAAGAGGGCAAATTTTTGTTTTGTGTACATTTGGTAACGATTGAATGTGCAAGAGAGAAGCTGACGGCCTGGAGGGGCTGAGGTACAGCACAGGAGTAGTAGTACTTATGGTATGGCAAGTGAGTTTTTTTTAGGAGTACCGTAAGGCCAGGTGCACCCTCCTCAGATCCATCATTGTTTTATGCTTAACATCTTGCAAATCATAGGTAAATGATCATTAGGCTTTCCAGTGCATTATTACTCTTTATTATTAGTCATTAATTGATTCAGTGGAAAAATGAGTTCTTTTCTCATTGGAGCTATAAGAAAATGTTATATAACAAAAATTTAGAAGGGCTTTTTCGGACTTTGCAAGAGCTATCTTACTTTAGTTGACATAAATTACTTGAACCCTGTAAAATAAATAAAGCAAGGTCAGAACCCCCATTTTACAAAGTGTTGATATAAATCGCAAGTTATTTGTGATTGATATCAATCGCAACTATGTACATAAGAGATAGGAGACTACAAACTTGGGATTGAATTGAAGACTTGCGATTAATCCACATCAATCGCAACTCTTTATAAGACGGATCCAGGTCTTGATTTTCCCCAACATCTCAATTCACAAAACAAACAGAGCGACCATAGGAAATATTTTGATCCACATAATAAAATGCAGATTATGTTCATATTACAGACAATGCGTGTCTGATGCGGAACTGCTCCTCAATGGAGACTTTCAATGCAATTTGAGTCATTGGGTGGTATTCTCTTAAGTTAAGCCGGGACTAAGTCCAGACTAAACAAGAATTTTAGTTCGCACTTCTATGGAATGCTAGGTTTCATCTTCCTCCTTCAATATTCATGACAAAGGTAATCTACCAATGACTTTGTTGAAATTTAGTTTATATTCATATTATCTTTTTCTTCCTATTTCAGTGCAAAATTAATTTTTTGGACACTTTTCATTGAAGGATTAAAATAATCTGTTCAGGGTAAATTAGCTCACAACAGGCACTCCAAAAAGTGTGAACTAACTAAGCACGCGCTAACTTAGTACGCGCTACCGGAATACCACCCATAATGTCTGGACGAAGAAAGAAGCAAAGTGGTTCTGATATTTTTCATAATACCTTTTGGCTCTGGACTGAGTCTGAAATGAACCACTTCTGCAGTGAATATGAAAGTGATATTAGTCAGCCAGGGCAGCATTTCACAAAACCATCAAGTACAAATTTACTGACATCCCATTGAAATGTGTATCAATCGCAATACACGCATTTCCATGGGATGTACTGACACAAAGCGATGCCCTGTAATCCAGGCTTTAGAATCTCTCACCTTCTTTGTAATCCTCTTCCAGTTCTTCCTTTCTGCTGGCTCGGAATCGTGTGAGCTTGGAGCCCGTGTAGAAGAAGGCAACAAGACACAAGAAGTGAGAGTAGCTACTTAGCGTCATTATAACACCCATAACAAATGCTGGAAAAGGGAAGAGAGGTGCAAATAAAAGTTCAATGGTTTATATTCAGTTTTAGAGGTAGCAAGTATGATAGTATACAAATATGCACTGTCTTGAGAGGTTCTGGTTAAAACTATGCGCAAGACATGACTCCAATAGTACTATTTGCTGAGGGGTGCAGCCCCAAGGCAAATGGTACTTTTTGAGTCACAGAGGCCCATAGTTTAAACAAGTACCTCAAATAGAAGCCATGGTATATTTCTTTCATATCCTGCATCAAAAATGTAATTAAAAAAAAATAAAATAAAAAATCCTATTTTTGGGGAAAAAAATGACAATTTTTATCAAAAAAGATTTAAAATATTTTGTTATTTGTAAAAAAAGAAAGAAGACCTTTTACCTTGTGACCTGCAATTTTTGTCATATGATTTTTGGTATTTGATAACCTTGTGAACAAGTTTCATGGAATTTGAACAAACACTTTTGAAAATATGCTAAAAATTCAAAATCTTGATGTTGATGCCACAAAAAAGTCTAAGTTTGTTGACCTAAAATGACCTTTGACCTTAACTTAGTGACCTGAATTCTACTCACATGATTGGGGATACTTGATTACCCTATAATCCAAGTTTCATTCACTAAGAACTTATACTTTCAAAGTTATATCAAAAATTCAAAAATTTAACCTTAGGTTAAGTTTTCGATGATGATGCCACAACATACATGTAGTTTGTTTGTTTGTTTGTTTGTTTGTTTGCTTTTATTTCTGCGTTCAAAATAATACAATACATAATGTGTTTACAAAGATAATATACAAAACAATTCATAAGATAAACAATATAGTCATGATACATAATGAATACAAAATAAGGAAGTGAGCTTAAACATTTTTTTATAGATATATATCCATATATACGCATATAGCACATGCATACATACATACACATACACATATACGCCTATACATACTCTCACATATAATATAATATAATATAACACATATAATATAATATATAATCCAATCAATGAACGCAGGAGACCGCCATCGTGAGCGGTAAGGCTTGAAATTGATGGCGGCCTCATAAAAAGATTCGTGACTGAAATTGATATTTACTGATCAAGTGGGTGCATTGCAGGTGCAGGTGCTGGTGCTGTATGTAGCAGTTGAGTAAAATGAGGATATTGAATGACGAATGTGAATATTTATGTGAATATGTTAATTTGGAGTATGGGATTCATAAGATTGAATGATAGTTTTTTTTAGAGTGGCTTTCAAGGAGTATATGGTCGAACAAGATTTAATATCGTCTGAAAGATTATTCCAGATGTCTGGACCATGATGACAAATTGATTTAGAGGCAATTAACAGTCTTGGGTTTGTGAGATGAAAGTTTCTGGATATGCGAGTTGGGTAGGTATGGACAGAGCTATTGAACTTAAACATGTCATCAAAAGACGAAGGGAGCAGATTATTAATATACTTAAACATAATGATAGCTATTTGAATAGTATATAAGTCGGCAATTTTTAGTGCTTTTTGTTTAAAAATTAAAGGATCGGTGTGGGCCAAGTAATGCGATCCTCTCACAAATGCGAATTGCTCTCTTTTGTAGTTTAAAAATAGGAGTCAGCTTTGTAGAACCACAACTAGCCCAAACTAGATGGAATTTTGACTGCGCGCAGTCGAAAATGATGCCTCCGCCATAGAGCAATTTAAACAAGTTTGGAGTTTAAATCTCCAGTGGTTCTTGAGATATCATGATAACAATCTCAATGTATGGAATTTCATAAGTTGACCTCTGTGACCCTTGACCTTTGACCTACGTGCTCCAAAATCTAATCAGATTGTCTTCCTATGGTGATACACACTATCATTAAGTTTGAAGTTTAAATCTCCAGTGGTTCTTGAGATATTATGATAACAATCTCAATGTATGGAATTTCATAAGTTGACCTCTGTGACCCTTGACCTTTGACCTACGTGCTCCAAAATCTAATCAGATCGTCTTCCTATGGTGATACATACTATCCTTAAGTTTGAAGTTTTTACATCTCCAGTGGTTCTTGAGATATCATGATAACAATCTCAATGTATGGAATTTCATAAGTTGACCTCTATGACCCTTGACCTTTGACATACGTGCTCCAAAATCTTATCAGATCGTCTTTCTATGGTGATACATACTATCCTTAAGTTTGAAGTTTAAATCTCAAATGGTTCTTGAGATATCGTGCTAACAAACTCAATACAAGGAATTTCATAAGTTGACCTCTGTGACCTGTGACCTTTGACCTACGTACTCCAAAATCTAATCAGATCGTCTTCCTATGGTGATAAATACTATTCCCGAGTCTTAAGTTTAAATCTTAAATGGTTCTTGAGATATTGTGATAACGGTCAAACGGGACGGACGTACGGACGTACGGACGGACAACCCGAAAACATGATGCCTCCGGCACCACCTTCGGTGGCGGAGGCATAACAACGTTACAGTAGGTTATATATGGGAGTACTAACGAATAATACAATAAAAATAAAGTTTTATGAGGTAAAATAAATCTTAACTTGGAAATTATTCCAATACTTTTTGAGATACTTATTATGATATGGTGCAGATGTTCATTCCAAGATAAAGTTTGATCTATGATAACACCTAAAAATCTAGAGTGAGTTTTCTGCTCTAATGGCATGCCGTCAATCTGTAAGTGAATTGGAGTATCAGTAATATGAGAATGGTGTTGAAAATAGATGAAGTGGGTCTTTTTTGTGTTCAAAGATAGTTTGTTAGCTTTAAACCATTGTGATACTTTGTTTATTTCATGATTTAATATGTTGTTTAAGGAAGTGAGATTTTTATGAGAAAAAAGATATTTGTGTCGTCAGCGAATAATACAAAAGATAAAATGGAGGATGTATTAATAATGTCATTGACATATAGCAGAAATAACAGTGGGCCTAGAATGGAGCCTTGAGGGACACCACATTGAACTAAAAGTGAATCAGAATCATAACCATATTGTCTTCGATTTCTTAAATAATCTTTAAACCAAAGGAGTGATTGACCTCGTATACCATAATAATTAAGTTTTGAAAGTAAAATATCGTGATTAAGTGTATCGAATGCCTTACTGAGGTCACAAAATATACCAATGACATGTTCTTTGTTAGCTATGGCGTTTGTAATTTTATCATAAATTTGGATTAAAGCCAGGTTTGTTGAGTAATTTTTTCTGAAGCCATATTGATTAGAAGTTAGCAAATTGTGTTTGTTGATAAATTCATAGAGTCTATTATATACTATTTTTTCAAAATTTTGGATATACTTGAGAGTAGAGATATGGGGCAATAATTCCTAATTTCATGAGGATTGTCTTTTTTGAAAATTGGATTGATTTTGGCGATTTTTAATAAGTCCGGAAAAACACCTTGTGATAATGATTTATTGAAAATGTGACTAAGAGGGTTAGCAAGTGGGTGGATTATTTCTTTTAAAAGAGACACACTAATTCTATCATGCCCGTGAGATTTGGTTGTTAAGAGAATGTGTAATATTGATAATTTCGGTGGGGTTCGTGGGGCTCAAGAACAGAGAATGTGGATTAGGTTGGGGGAGATAATCCGTGAAATGCGCATTTCGGCTATTAATCTTGCTTGCAAGTTCGGGTCCGATGTCTGTAAAAAATGAATTAAATGAGTTTGCATGAAGGGAAGAGTCAACTTTAGAACCATTTAAAGTCATATCATCAGTAGGTGGGGGATTTGCCTTAGTTCCCATTACCTCTTTGATAATTTTCCATGTTGCATTAGTATTTGAACTGACATCCTTTATTCTATTAGCATAATACATTTTACGTGATATACGAATTAATTTTGTCAACTTGTTGCGATATAACTTGTATGTTTTTAAATTGGCTTCAGTAGGATTGTGTAAATGTGATTTGTAAAGGCGATTACGTGTCTGTATTGATTTCAATAAACCCTTTGTTATCCAAGGATGTTTGGGGGTTTTTCTATTATTTTTTACTTTACCTATGGGAATATTTTTTTCATAATAACGTTGTAATTTATTATTCAAGAGATTATATGATATGTTCGCGTCAGCTTCATTGTATACATCCTCCCATCCCTCAATTAATAAGTCTTGCTTCATTAATTCAATATTACGTTTAGATTCTTTTCGATATGTACGTTGGTTAAATGATTTGGGGCATGGTAGTTTTAATTCACAAGTTAAAAATATTGGTAAGTGGTCTGAAACTTCAGAGCATAGAATTCCTCCTATCATTTTGTTATTCATGTTGTTATGTACGTTGGAAAAAATGTTGTCAATTTGAGTTGATGAATATGGGTTAATTCTGGTGGATTTATTGATGAATGAATGGAAGCCGAATGAGTACATAAGTTTCATAAAATTGTTTGAGTTATTATTGAAGACTGAGGGTAAGAAATTGATATTAAAATCTCCAAGAATAAAAGTATGCTTATTTTCATTACCTATATATAGAGATATTGCTCAAGTTCCTTATAAAATAAATCAAAATTAGAGCCTGGCGGTCTATAAATTAAACCTATGATGATATTCTTAAATCCTGTGTTTTCAATTTCAATGAATAAAGTCTCTGCATGTAACAGTTTCACATCGGAACGGATCTTAAATTTCAGTTTTTCAGCAATGTAGAAGGCCACGCCTCCGCCTCTTTTTCCTTTGCGATCTGCCCTTATCAACTTATAATTTGGTAAATTAAACAAATCTGGGAATTTTCATGTAGCCATGTCTCGCTAATACCAATAACAAGGAATTTGAAATTGTTTAACGTGTGTAAGAGATTTTCAAAATATTCGAAGTTTCTATTCAGACTTCTTAAATTTGCGTGTAAAAGGGAAATATCATTTGGATTACTATCAACCATGTTATTGAATTCTTGAGGTGTGTAGTATTTGCTATTGTATGAATTTTCTATGTAATTATCAGGAATAAGAGAGTGACTCCATCAGAAACGATAACATGTAAAGTACCAG